TGCATCCGGCCTCCGGTCATCAGTCAACTTAATACTATTGTTTCATTGGTTATTATTTTGTTGCTTAAAATACTGGATGCATATACATGGACCACACGCTTAGTGACGGCATGTTGCTTGTTATTTTTCTGTTTTTTTTCTTTTATATAGCACATATACCCGCTTTTTCGTTCTTTGGGCTGAATTTCATCGTATTTGCGGTGAATTCTAGTTATCCATGTCGATGTCGTCTTACTCTTCTTCTTTTAGCTCTTGTTTTTTGTGAGGCGCTCGAGCATGCACGAATATGCAAATGGAGCCATCACTATGACCATTACTTCGGTGAGGTGATCATGCGTTGGTGAAATGCCAAAGCTCAACGAACGCGGTCCTCATATTACCATCGACGGACGGTCCAGATCATGCGCAAACTCTGTTCTCTTAAGTTCATTTTGCGTCCCTCTAAAAAAGAAGGTCATTCTTCCTAAGAAATAAGTTCAGTTCGTGTCCTTTCAGGAAGAAAACGGACCTCCGACAATCCTATATGAAGCCCGCGTGCGTCGTATAGATTTTTTGAGAATCACGTGCGTCGTATAGATGTTCAAACCGGTTGGCACACGTAACAGCTGTTCTGGTGCGTTTTTTCCTGATTTTTTTCCTATTCCTTCTTTTTCATTTCCCTTTTCTATTTCAGATCTTGGGATTTCTTATGTTTTTTTATTTTCCATATTTTTATTGGTTTTGCAATATACGGTGAACTTTTTCCAAATTATGATGAATATATTTTCAGTACAAATTGTACTTTTTAAGTATGTGGTGAACATTTTTCAAATAGAAAATAATTTTTATAATATACTTTGAACAATTTTTTGATCTTACTTTAAATTTTTTTGAAATATACTATGAATTTTTATAATTACATGATGAACGTTATTTTAAACACACTTAATATTTTTTAACCTATGGTGAACTTTTTTCAATATGCAATGAAATTTATATAAAATAAAAACTGAAAAATTGTGTAAAATACATTTCTAATTTTTAATATTTTTAAAAATATCTAGCTCTTAAAAAAGAACATCCAGTTTTATTCGTGGAAACCCAACTAAAAAACCGAAAAATAAATTATTTTTGAGACAAAGAACCGAAAAATAAATAAAAGCAGTTTACGGGCATAGTGGGCTGCCATATTTTTCTTGGCATCGGTGAAATAACCCCTAGTTGAAGACGCACACGGGCGTCAAAATAGGAAGAAACAAGGGCCATTAAGAAAAGTTGCCGCGCCTCCAAAGCATTGGCTTGTTTGTAATCCATGCAAATGCATCTAATCTCTGCGTAGGGCGAGTGAGCGCGAGCAAACGCGCACCTCAGCCACACTCGCTTCGGAACCCCTCCACGCGAGGAATGGTAAACGGGCCAGCCCAGTGTGCGCCCGCTTCATGATTTTTTTTTCTTAAAATGGTTTTTCGGTCATTTTATTTTATATGGGCTGATTTTTTATTAAATACCTTCTAAATATAGAATCTTGAATTTAAGAATATATTCAAGAGTGAACCAACCTGTGGTTGGATGGTTAGAGGGGCAGTGATATCCCCAGCCCACTAGGGTTCAAATCCTGGTGCTCGCATTATTCCTGGATTTATTTTAGGATTTCCGGCGATGCGCTTAGGGTGTGCGTGTGTGCGTCATAGGGGTGAGTGTATGCGTGTATGTATGAGTGCTTGCGTTTGTACTGATGTTAAAAAAATTCAATTTTTTGAATTTAATATATGATGCTGAAATTCAAATGTGTTCATGTATTGAAAAACTATTTTTGATTTCAAAAAGTTGTTTGCAAATTTTAAAATTATTCTCAAAATTTTAAACGTTCATTAACCTGAATATTTTTCTCAGATTTTTTTTAAAATCTGACATTTAAAAATATATTGGCACCCACACACACGCGCGCGTGCACACACACACACACACACACACACACAGGTTCAGGGATACCTACACCCATAAGTAAAACAAAACAGGTTCAGGGAGAACCTTCACAAAACCAGATTTTTCTTTTGAGAAAATCCCAAAACAAGATAAACACATGGCAAAAAAATGACCAATTGGGCTGGCCCATGTAGTGTTGAGGGGTGTGCGTTTGCTCACTAGCTAACGCAGTGCGATCTTCTAAAAAAAGCTAACGCAGTGCACGCAGACAAGGATTCCCGATTCCGCGCATATGTGAACAATTGTCGACCAAATGCATGCCTCAGTGCACTATATGGTTACTGGGGCCGGTCAAAGAAGGTTCTTTCTGTATTTTCTTTGCTGGTTTTAACGGGTTTCTTCCGGATTTTTATTTACCTGCTTTCATTTTATGGTTCCCCCTTTTCCATTTTAAAATTGAAGATTTTTTTAAATGTAAGAACATGTTTAAGTTCATTCACATTTTATGAAATCACAAATATATTTTAATTTAGAAAACATGTTTAAAATTCAAGAACATGTTTTCATTTTTTGAATATTTTTAAAATTTGTAGACAGTTTTGAATGCCTAAGCATTTAAAAATAAATAATAGAAAGCTGACATAAATAAAACATATATCTAACAATCCAGAGAATATGTCGATGGCCCTGGCTATCCTTTAATTGGCGCGGTGTAGTTAGCTATCGCGTCGGGAGGGGTGCGTATTTGACAGGTCAGTGCGTACGTGACTTGTACTATGATCCTTATTATATAAATAAGACACGTATTACCATACAAAAAAGAGGATGATGGTGCGCGTTTGCTGGCTCCCCATCGTCCTACGAGCCGACTAGCAGCTCTATTTTTTGGCAAAACAAAACATTAGGTAATTAAACTGTACTCCTACATAAATCTGTAGGATCGACCAGAATCATAACATGTTTTGCGAGTTCAATTTTCTTTGCACATTTAAGAAGACAAAACAGTTGCAACCCCTTATATTACATTATTTCCTTATTCCAAGCCGGGCTCTGGTCTCTGGGAGACATATTATACATGAGGTTATTACTACACGTACACAACATAAGTCGCAAATATAGATACATGGCAGCATGCAGCATGCAGCATCAGCATGCATTGGGAGCAAACTGAGATCACTTCTTCTGAAGGTGGCACAACTCAACCAGTTCCCACGACTCCAAGCTCTTGTCCTTCGGATCCGTTTTGTAAAGCGCGAGCTCAGATATCTCGAACTGCAGCCCAAATATTCCCTTGTCCATCTCCCCTGCCTTCTTCCTCGCCGCTGCCTTCTCCTCCTCCGTCAGGTGATCCCCATACAAGAGGCTCAGATGCGGCACGTACGCTGCGAGTATATTTAATCAGCTGTCATCAGCTTGTAATTTTACGGAGACGGAGTTAGTTCAGGCAGAAGACTCACGAGCTGGTCTCTGGTAATCGAAGTGGGCGCGGCAGTGGTCGCTCGTGGCCATCATCTGCAAGCAAAATCAAGATAATTTGATGGGAGCAAAGCAAACCGGCGCAGATAGGGGTGAGCTAGGGATACCGGAGGCCGACCTCACGGGTTGGTTCGAGCAGGAGGTTGACGCCGTAGCGGCCGATGGAGGCGACGCGGGCGGTGAATGGGCGGAGACCGGCCGCCGCGGCTCGTAGCGCCTTGTAAAACAAAGGGTTTTAGGGTTTGTGGCACACCTCTAACGTGGGGTGGCCTTTGTATTATATAGGGGGTACATCATCATGTACAAATACAATTACAACTATAACACATGTAGGTTCAGTATATACAGAGTCTAACACCCTCCCTCAATCTCAACCGAGCTCAGAAGAATTTACTAGGTTGAGATTACGCCTACACCTTTCAAACTGAGGAAGCGGCAGTGGCTTGGTGAAGATATCAGCAAGTTGATCCTTTGAAGAGATGAACTTGATGAGAAGCAGCTTCTGGGCAACACGTTCTCTGACAAAGTGATAGTCAACTTCGATGTGTTTTGTTCGGGCATGGAATACAGAATTCGAAGACAGATACGTAGCACCGATATTATCACACCAAAGAACAGGAGGTTGCTCCTGAGAGATCCTCAACTCTCGAAGCAAGGACTGTATCCAAATCAGCTCAGCTGTAGCATTTGCAACTGCTTTGTACTCAGCCTCAGTGCTACTGCGAGACACTGTTGCTTGTGTACGAGCACTCCAGGCGATCAAGTTAGCACCAAAGAACACTGCATAGCCCCCCGTTGATCGCCTGTCATCTGGATTCCCAGCCCAGTCTGCATCAGAGAACGCGGAAAGAGCTCCAGAGGTCGCCGGTTGCAAATGCAGACCATATGAAGGTGTCAACCGAATGTAGCGTAATATACGCTTAACAGCAGTCCAATGAGAATCTCGAGGTGCATGCAGAAACTGACAGACACGGTTGACAGCATAAGAGATATCCGGACGAGTAATAGTCAGGTATTGCAGACCACCGACAATACTCCGATACTCAGTGGCCTCATCAGCACAAAGAAGAGAACCATCGAGGGCAGACAGTTTGTCAGTAGAGGACATAGGTGTAGTAGCAAGCTTGCACTTGAGCATACCAGCACGTCGAAGAACATCAAGAATACTTCTGCTGGGTCAGCGTCAAACCAGAACCAGAGTACAAGACCTCCAGACCGAGAAAATAGTGCAGTTTTCCAAGATCCTTAACCGCAAAATCAGCCCGCAAGGAAGACACCAGGTGATCCGCAGCAAATACTGAAGAGCTGACAAGAATGATGTCATCAACGTAAACTAGCAGGTACATAGTAACTGTAGGACGCTGAAGAAGAAATAGTGAGGTGTCAGCCGTAGAGGGAACAAAACTATGAGCCCGAAGAGTGGTGCCAAGACGTGCATGCCAAGCACGCGGAGCCTGCTTCAGGCCATAGAGCGCCTTAACAAGGCGACACAGATGCTGCGGTCGAGCGGGATCAACAAAACCAGGAGGCTGACGCATATATACCTCCTCCTCTAATACCCCATGAAGAAAGGCATTCTGAACATCAAGTTGACGAAGAGACCATCCACGAGTAACAGCCAGTGAGAGCAAAAGTCGAATGGTAGTGGGTTTAACCACCGGACTGAAGGTATCCTCATAATCAAGACCCTGACGTTGTTTGAATCCTTTAGCAACCAGCCGAGCCTTGTATCGCTCAATAGAACCATCGGCATGTCGCTTAACCTTAAACACCTACTTAGAATCAATAACATTGACACCTGCCCTGGGAGGAACTAAACACCACGTGCCATTCTGAAGAAGAGCTTGGTATTCTTGTTCCATCGCAAGACGCCAGTGAGGAATGCTCATAGCTGCCTGAAAATGCCTTGGTTCAGCAGTAGGATCCGCCTGTGCTTGCGCCATGCAAGTCGCGAGCCAGGCAACAGTCCCGTCCGTGCGCTTCTTCGGTTGAACCACGCCACTCTTGCTGCGTGTATGAGGACGCAATACATGAGCAGGGGCAGGTGGTGGTGAAGGAGTCAGTGACAGCAGTAAGGAAACCACCGCCTCAGAAGAGTCCAACAGCGAGGAAGCCGGTGAAGACGTGGCCGATGGCGACAGAACAGGGGACGATAGTCCATTGGAGGACAAAGCTGGCCCAGGCGACACGAACGGCGCAGGTGAGCTCAGCGTAGGAGACCCGACAGGCGAGGCCGGCCCAGGCGAGTGCGGCGTAGCGGGCCGAACAGGGGAGGCCGGCTCAGCTGAGGCCGGCCCAGGTGAGGCCGGCGTGGATGCAGCCGGCGGAGGAGTCCCGGGCCCAGGCGAGGCAGTCCGCTAAGCCGGGGCATGGCCAGATGGCGGGAAAGCTGCATGGGGCATGCAGGTGGCCGGCTGGTCGTCGTGCGGGGTTGTGGAGGAGGGAGCCGGTGGTTCTTCCTCGTCTAGAAGCTGCAAGCGTGCGCCTCTTCCAATACCTGCGCCATGGTTAGACAACAAAAGGGGCGAATGTGCAGCATCTAAAAATTGACCAGGCAAGGTACTGGAGGGGTGCACAGGCGGTGTGGAGGCGGCAACAGATGCGAGTAGAGCAGAAAAGGGAAAAACATGTTCATCAAAGACAACATCGCGGGAAATATACACACGATTAGATGGAACATGAAGACATTTATACCCTTTGTGAACAGAACTATACCCAAGGAAGACACATCGTTTGGATCTAAACTCAAGCTTGCGATTGTTATAAGGACGGAGGTGTGGCCAGCATGCACACCCAAACACCTTAAGGAACATGTAATCAGGAGTTTGACCAAGCAAGAGTTCAAGTGGAGTTTTCATATGAAGGAGCCGTGAAGGGAGCCTATTTATAAGAAAACAGGCTGTGGTGAAGGCATCACTCCAAAAACGAAACGGAACAGATGCATGTGCTAGCAAGATTAGTCCAGTTTCAACAATATGACGATGCTTACGTTCAGTCGAACCATTCTGCTGATGTATGTGTGGGCAGGACACACGATGAGCAATCCCAAGTTTTTCAAAGGAAGTGCTAAGATTGCGGTACTCACCCCCCCAATCCGACTGCACATAAATGATTTTACGATTGAGAAGACGCTCAACATGTGCTTGAAACTTAAGAAATACACCAAAAACATCAGACTTGCGTTTAAGAAGATATAATCAAGTAAACCGACTATAAGCATCAATGAAACTGACATAATATTCATGACCACTAACAGACAGCTGGGCAGGGCCCCATACATCTGAAAACACAAGCTCAAGAGGAGTTTTGACTATGTGGTTGGAAACAGAAAAAAGTAACTGATGACTCTTGCCTTGCTGACAGGCATCACAGATAGCAGCATCATTATTTCTAGACTCTGACGGTAGCTCATGACGGTGGAGAACATGGCGAACAATGGGTAACACAGGGTGACCAAGACGTGAATGCCACAATGCAGGAGACACGCGAACCCCGCTGAAGACCTGAAGATCAGCAGCGGCAGCAGGCACGGTGGTGGGCGCATCCAGAGCATACAAGCCTCGGCGAAAACGACCTCTAAGAAGTATGTCCCTCGTAGCTCGGTCCTTAACAAAAAGATGAAACGGGTGAAACTCACAAAAGACATTATTATCCTGAGTAAGTCTAGGAACAGAGAGCAAGTTACGAGTAACAGAGGGAACACGAAGAACATTTCTAAGATGCAAATTCCTAGAGGTGTTCATGAGAAGTGATGCCTGACCAATATGAGAGATGCGCATACCTGCCCCATCCGCTGTGTGAACCTTGTCGTGGCCATGGTAGGGTTGCTGAACGTTGAGCTTGCCCAGTTCATTCGTCACGTGGGCTGTTACTCCAGTATCCATGTACCAGGAAGGATCAATAGGATATGAAGGCGTATGTCCCTGCTGCGCCATAAGAACTTGGCGATCATTGCCCTTGCCGTTGTTGCCGAGGCCGAGGAAGTCGGTCTTGAAGCGACGATGACAGCGAGAGGCAACATGACCTGGCAGACCACAGAGTTGGCACTGCTGGGCCGCTCCACATGCAGCACAACATGCACGTGGACGACCATCAATAGTGACCACAGAGGAGCCAGGACACGAGGGCGGCTGCTGACCCGAGGATGTACTGCCACCGGATTTGCCCCCCCCCCCAGCCGAGGAAGCAGAAGGGCCGCGACCACCTCCTTTGCAACGATACGCAACGTTAACAGAGAGGTCCACGGGAGTGTCCGGGCGGCGTGCGTTGAGCCGTTGCTCCGTTGAGAGGAGGCGGCTGTAGAGATCCTGAGGACGGATAGGAACCTTGCGTTCATTGATCACTTCCGCCAACGAGTCGTAGTCGCTATCCAGGCCCGCAAGGATGTAGGATGTGAACTCAGTGTCACGAAGAGGTTCGCCAATGGAAGCAAGAGTGTCAGCCAGCTTTTTGATTTTGTTGTAGAAGACGGTCACCGACCCGTTGTCCTTGCGAGTGTCAGCAAGTTTAGCGCGGATGGACATGCTCTGCGCAGTAGACTGCAAGGAAAAACTCGACTCCAAGATGTCCCACATCTCATGAGATGTCGCAGCAAAGAGAACCAGGCCGGCAACACCCTCGCCCAGGGAGGATTGTATCGCCGAGAGGATGGCCTGGTCCTGAGCAATCCACGCACGAAACATCGGATGATGCGGCGGCGGACACGGCAGGGTACCGTCGACGAAGCCCTCCAAGTAATGGCTGCGAAGCAAAGGTAGCACTTGCGCACACCAGTAGAGGTAGTTATCCGGCTTGAGCTTGACCGGGAGGAGGTGCGAGAACAGGAACGGCGGCGAGGAGATCGCAGCCAAAGCAGCTTCAAGATCCATGTAGGGCGGCGGCGCGGACGGGGGTTGATGTGGAGCGCCATACGCCGCAACGCCGTGGGACGACGGTGCACCGTACGCTGCCGGCGGACCATACATCGAGGAGGCCACGGGGGCGCCGGACCGAGGCGCGGGCGAAGAGCCGTACGGGGCACCATATAGAGGAAGGCCACCATAGCCGTCGTAGGCCACGTGAGGGGCGTCGGCGATAGACGAGCCCGCTGCGGTGTAGATGACAGCAGTCGGGTCAGACACGGCCGGGCGCATCATCGGATGCGGGGCGGCCGAGGGCGGCGGCGCAGGTACCAGCGGGTACGAGGCGGCCGGAAGCAGGGTAGATGCAGAGGGCGACGAGGAGTAGCCGGCGTACTGGTAGGCGACGGGGCCGACATACTGGTGGCCTGCAGATCGCGTCAACAGGGGGCCGAGCGAACCCTCCGTCGTGTAGGGCGCAGCCCCTCCATACAGGAGAGCCGCGAGCGACGGCGGTAGGAACACATGGTCCGTGGCGACGGATCGGAGACCCGCACCAGCGGCAGCAGTAGTCGATGCGGCGGCGAGGGACGCTGCGAGAGCAGCGGCGGTGTCGGCGGCCGGATGCGACATGACGACGGCGGCTGGCGGCGGGGTTGGAGCGGAAGACTTAGGTTAGATCGGTAGGCGTGATACCATATAAAACAAAGGGTTTTAGGGTTTGTGACACACCTCCAACGTGGGGTGAACTTTGTATTATATAAGGGATACATCATCATGTACAAATACAATTACAACTATAACACATGTAGGCCCAGTATATAGAGAGTCTAACACGCCTCGATGGTGGCGGAGCGGCGGAGACGCATGGCTCCATGGACGGTGGCGTGCGGCTCGAAGACCGCGCCGCCGTGCGCGGCACGGAGGCTGGCCATGAGGCCGAGAAGGCGACGGCGGACGGGCTCTGGCGGGAGGGCCCATACGGAGTACATCTCCTCCGGCGACTGATCGGTGGGGTCCATGCTGGTCGACGGAGGCTGGGGCGCCGCGCAGCCTGAAATGGAAGCAGGCTTTAGGACGAGAAGCTCATGGCAATGGCATCGCGAGAGCTGCCTGAAATAATACACGGAGCCGTGTTCTTCCGTATGCTGAAGCTTCACGGAGCCTTCCACCGATGGGACACTGACTGTGGACCCCAGGTTTGGAAATATGATGTTCTAGAGTCCGTGATGACATGCTTAGCGAAATCGAATGCAAACTTGGATTGGACATGACGTCGGAGTCAAGTCAAAAGCTGTTAACATAGGATACAAATACAAGTCATGCCAATCAGTATGATTCTCCACAAAGATAAGGTAATAAACAAGGCAAAAATCTATCCCCTCTGTTTTTAAATATTTGTCTTTTTAAATATTTCAACAAATAACTACATACGGAACAAAATGAGTGAATCTACACTTTAAAATATGTCTACATACCGTATGTGGTAGCCATTTGAAATGTCTAGAAAGACCATTACTCCCTCTGTAAACTAATATAAGAGCGTTTAGAATACTAAAATAGTGATCTAAACGCTCTTATATTAGTTTACAGAGGGAGTATTTAGGAACGGACGGAGTAGCATGTTGTGGAATATTCAATGCAAATATACTCACTAAATTCTCTCGTTATGTAAACTAAAATATTGGCCATGGCACGTGTCCTAAAGGTGCCGGGGAGTCTACAAAGAGCGC